GCTGTATCCAGTTCTTATTATACATCCATGGTGAGGCCCCGCCTCCCACGCTGTATCCAGTTCTTATTATACATCCATGGTGAGGCCCCGCCTCCCACGCTGTATCCAGTTCTTATTATACATCCATGGTGAGGCCCCGCCTCCCACGCTGTATCCAGTTCTTATTATACATCCATGGGAACGACTCGCTGGTATCTGGAGCTGAGCGCTCATTGGTGGGTTTTACCCCGTGCTGGAGATGAAGCTCTCCATTGGCTCGCTGGTATCTGGAGCTGAGCGCTCATTGGTGGGTTTTACCCCGTGCTGGAGATGAAGCTCTCCATTGGCTCGCTGGTATCTGGAGCTGAGCGCTCATTGGTGGGTTTTACCCCGTGCTGGAGATGAAGCTCTCCATTGGCTCGCTGGTATCTGGAGCTGAGCGCTCATTGGTGGGTTTTACCCCGTGCTGGAGATGAAGCTCTCCATTGGCTCGCTGGTATCTGGAGCTGAGCGCTCATTGGTGGGTTTTACCCCGTGCTGGAGATGAAGCTCTCCATTGGCTCGCTGGTATCTGGAGCTGAGCGCTCATTGGTGGGTTTTACCCCGTGCTGGAGATGAAGCTCTCCATTGGCTCGGCTAAAGTGTGTTGTTTTGTGTCAGTTTCACGTCGCCACTTCCATTCACATTTTCCATCATTGTTCCACAATGTTTATCATCATTAAATTAATCAATATAATTTATCTATATATTTTATACTATACTTGCACTGCTTACCGTTGTCATACTTTATATATCATATTCATACACACTGTTCATACTGCTCACAGGTTACTGTGTATATCTAGTGTATTCATACACACTGCTCATACTGCTCACAGGCTGCTGTGTATATCTAGTGTATTCATACACACTGCTCATACTGCTCACAGGCTGCTGTGTATATCTAGTGTATTTATACACACTGTTCATACTGCTCACAGGCTGCTGTGTATATCTAGTGTATTTATACACACTGTTCATACTGCTCACAGGTTACTGTGTATATCTAGTGTATTTATACACACTGTTCATACTGCTCACAGGCTGCTGTGTATATCTAGTGTATTCATACACACTGCTCATACTGCTCACAGGCTGCTGTGTATATCTAGTGTATTCATATACACTGTTCATACTGCTCACAGGCTGCTGTGTATATCTAGTGTATTTATACACACTGTTCATACTGCTCACAGGCTGCTGTGTGTATCTAGTGTATTTATACACACTGCTCATACTGCTCACAGGCTGCTGTGTATATCTAGTGTATTTATACACACTGCTCATACTGCTCACAGGCTGCTGTGTATATCTAGTGTATTTATACACACTGTTCATACTGCTCACAGGCTGCTGTGTGTATCTAGTGTATTCATACACACTGTTCATACTGCTCACAGGCTGCTGTGTATATCTAGTGTATTCATACACACTGTTCATACTGCTCATAGGCTGCTGTGTATATCTAGTGTATTTATACACACTGTTCATACTGCTCACAGGCTGCTGTGTGTATCTAGTGTATTCATACACACTGTTCATACTGCTCACAGGCTGCTGTGTATATCTAGTGTATTTATACACACTGTTCATACTGCTCACAGGCTGCTGTGTATATCTAGTGTATTCATACACACTGTTCATACTGCTCACAGGCTGCTGTGTATATCTAGTGTATTCATACACACTGTTCATACTGCTCACAGGCTGCTGTGTATATCTAGTGTATTCATACACACTGTTCATACCAGTGTTTCCCATACATTGATTTATTTGCCGCAAATAAAGTATGTATTTACGCAAATATAAGTATGTATTTACTTAGTACATATCTGACATTAACAATGCAAACCGAGTCAAGCCGACTCCGAGCTGTCAGACTTCAGGCGAGCTTTTTGAAACCTCCCTCGCTAATCGGCTATTCTCGTCTACTTTGGAGGCGAGCCGCAGCTCATCTCAAACAAGCCTAGGATATATATATATTATATATATATAGACATATATACACAGTATTAAACAGATAGTATTACAGTATTTAAACAGATAGTATTGCTGCAGTATTTAAACAGATAGTATTACAGTATTTAAACAGATAGTATTCCTGCAGTATTTAAACAGATAGTATTACAGTATTTAAACAGATAGTATTCCTGCAGTATTTAAACAGATAGTATTACAGTATTTAAACAGTATTACTGCAGTATTGGTTTAAAACAGCTGATGCTAACTGTTAGCCGTTAGCTCCGGAGTTTTGGTACCGGATAATTCCCGGATTGGTGCCGGTATTTCGCCGGCGGATCGTCGGCCTTTTATCTGCTTTAGATGTTAGTATTGTGTCTTACCGCTCAAGAAGGTCCATCGCTGCTCTGGAACAAGATCCTCTTTATTCTGACTTTGATTACTTTATTGTTTTTACTTTGTTTCTCTGTGGCTCCTCGTGAGGCTCTACTCAAACAAAGCTCAGTGCGCATGTGCAGAGAGACTGGATGGAAGTGGAGAAGGGACAATATTAACGGAAGGCGTTTCGCACTTGTAAATAAAATACTTTAGTGTAGAAGTATTTCTACTTGTAAGTATTCCTGTTCAAAATATGAAATACTTTAGTGTAGACGTATTTCTACTCAAAATATGAAATACTTTAGTGTAGACGTATTTCTACTCAAAATATGAAATACTTTAGTGTAGATTTATTTCTACTCAAAATATGAAATACTTTTGTTAAGGGAAATGTTTACATATGTCCTCAGGTTTTATATGTATCGAGAGATTATGTCTATTCTGTACTGTAGGGATGTAATATTGTTATTGTACCACTGTGAGGCACTGTAACGCACTGTGTGTGTTACGTGCTACGTAAGGACGCAGGCTTGCATCATGTAAATGAGGGTGTGTTCACCTGATGCACGTGTACACTGTCTAAGTGTGTTCACCTGATGCACGTGTACACTGTCTATGTGTGTTCACCTGATGCACGTGTACACTGTCTATGTGTGTTCACCTGATGCACGTGTACACTGTCTATGTGTGTTCACCTGATGCACGTGAACACTGTCTATGTGTGTTCACCTGATGCACGTGAACACTGTCTATGTGTGTTCACTTGATGCACGTGAACACTGTCTATGTGTGTTCACCTGATGCACGTGTACACTGTCTATGTGTGTTCACCTGATGCACGTGTACACTGTCTATGTGTGTTCACCTGATGCACGTGTACACTGTCTATGTGTGTTCACCTGATGCACGTGAACACTGTCTATGTGTGTTCATCTGATGCACGTGTACACTGTCTATGTGTGTTCACCTGATGCACGTGTACACTGTCTATGTGTGTTCACTTGATGCACGTGTACACTGTCTGTGTGTGTTCACCTGATGCACGTGTACACTGTCTATGTGTGTTCACTTGATGCACGTGTACACTGTCTATGTGTGTTCACCTGATGCACGTGTACACTGTCTATGTGTGTTCACTTGATGCACGTGTACACTGTCTGTGTGTGTTCACCTGATGCACGTGTACACTGTCTATGTGTGTTCACCTGATGCACGTGTACACTGTCTATGTGTGTTCACCTGATGCACGTGTACACTGTCTATGTGTGTTCACCTGATGCACGTGTACACTGTCTATGTGTGTTCACCTGATGCACGTGAACACTGTCTATGTGTGTTCACCTGATGCACGTGTACACTGTCTATGTGTGTTCACCTGATGCACGTGTACACTGTCTATGTGTGTTCACTTGATGCACGTGTACACTGTCTGTGTGTGTTCACCTGATGCACGTGAACACTGTCTATGTGTGTTCACCTGATGCACGTGAACACTGTCTATGTGTGTTCACCTGATGCACGTGAACACTGTCTATGTGTGTTCATCTGATGCACGTGAACACTGTCTATGTGTGTTCATCTGATGCACGTGTACACTGTCTATGTGTGTTCACCTGATGCACGTGAACACTGTCTATGTGTGTTCATCTGATGCACGTGAACACTGTCTATGTGTGTTCATCTGATGCACGTGTACACTGTCTATGTGTGTTCACCTGATGCACGTGTACACTGTCTATGTGTGTTCACCTGATGCACGTGTACACTGTCTATGTGTGTTCACCTGATGCACGTGAACACTGTCTATGTGTGTTCACCTGATGCACGTGTACACTGTCTATGTGTGTTCACCTGATGCACGTGAACACTGTCTATGTGTGTTCACCTGATGCACGTGTACACTGTCTATGTGTGTTCACCTGATGCACGTGTACACTGTCTATGTGTGTTCACCTGATGCACGTGAACACTGTCTATGTGTGTTCACCTGATGCACGTGTACACTGTCTATGTGTGTTCACCTGATGCACGTGTACACTGTCTATGTGTGTTCACTTGATGCACGTGTACACTGTCTGTGTGTGTTCACCTGATGCACGTGAACACTGTCTATGTGTGTTCACCTGATGCACGTGAACACTGTCTATGTGTGTTCACCTGATGCACGTGAACACTGTCTATGTGTGTTCATCTGATGCACGTGAACACTGTCTATGTGTGTTCACCTGATGCACGTGAACACTGTCTATGTGTGTTCATCTGATGCACGTGAACACTGTCTATGTGTGTTCATCTGATGCACGTGAACACTGTCTATGTGTGTTCACCTGATGCACGTGAACACTGTCTATGTGTGTTCTTCTAAGTCAGCTCGGCTGAGCGAAGGAATCACCTGAGAAGCAGAGGGAAATAAATCATGCTCAAGGGCTAAACAGTTCATCGTCTCCGTCTCCACTATTTCTCTCCGAGTGCAGCGTATGAAGAAGCTGCCATCCTAAACCTTAACAACTTTAGTGTAGAAGTATTTCTATTTGTAAGTATTTTGACTGAAAATATGAAATAAAGAACCTTGAACCTTGACCCTTGAACCTTGAGCCTTAAAATACTTTAATATATTTATGTCAGAAATGAATAAGACCAACTTCAACTGTGTCACACCTGTTGAGCTTTTATTTTGAAAGTACACAATAACACTGACAGTTTCCATGTTGTAGTTTTTGCTCCGGTCCCATATATGGGCGTGGAGCTGCACAGCTCTTCCTATTGGTCGATCCATTGTCTCTGTTTGCAGTAAAAAAGTCTTTGAGACGAGGATCCGACAGCGTCAGGATTAAAACCACAAATCATATTCAACATTACAAACCATCATGAGCACAACACACTCATCAAGTCACCATGGTAACAGCACCGTCGATGATGTCATGCAGCATGGGGCGGGGTCAGGTCGTCATGGTTAACGACACAAACACACACCTTCACATTCAAATTAAAAACTGGCGACTTCACCCTTTACCTCTCTGATGCTACGCTAACGTCACCCTTTACCCCTCTGATGCTACGCTAACGTCACCCTTTACCCCTCTGATGCTACGCTAACGTCACCCTTTACCCCTCTGATGCTACGCTAACGTCACCCTTTACCTCTCTGATGCTACGCTAACGTCACCCTTTACCCCTCTGATGCTACGCTAACGTTACCCTTTACCCCTCTGATGCTACGCTAACGTCACCCTTTACCTCTCTGATGCTACGCTAACGTCACCCTTTACCCCTCTGATGCTACGCTAACGTCATCCTTTACCTCTCTAATGCTACGCTAACGTCACCCTTTACCCCTCTGATGCTACGCTAACGTCACCCTTTACCTCTCTGATGCTACGCTAACGTCACCCTTTACCCCTCTGATGCTACGCTAACGTCACCCTTACCCCTCTGATGCTACGCTAACGTCACCCTTTACCTCTCTGATGCTACGCTAACGTCACCCTTTACCTCTCTGATGCTACGCTAACGTCACCCATTACCCATCTGATGCTACACTAACATCACCCATTACCCAGCTGATGCTACGCTAACGTCACCCTCTACCTCTCTGATGTTACGCTAACGTCACCCATTACCCATCTGATGCTACGCTAACGTCACCCATTACCCAGCTGATGCTACGCTAACGTCACCCTCTACCTCTCTGATGCTACGCTAACGTCACCCTCTACCTCTCTGATGCTACGCTAAGGTCACCCATTACCCAGCTGATGCTACGCTAAGGTCACCCATTACCCAGCTGATGCTACGCTAACGTCATCCATTACCCCTCTGATGCTACGCTAGGGATAGGAATTTGAAAGCAAATGTATATTCGAATATTCGACCCCCCAAAAAACGATTAACCGAAATGTAAATATTCTATAAAAAAAAAATTGGCTCAAAAAAAGATTTCTAACTTTTTTTTTCGAAAAAATATTTTTCAATAACTTTTGGAAATAAATAAATACATGTTCAAATAAGTTTAGAAACCAAGTCGAATTTGTCAAATGTATTGAACTGGTGATCACAGTTTGACAGCTATAGGCCTACAGCTTTCATGTGCGGAGGCGAATCACAATCAGGCCAGCTGTAGAGGAGACCCTCTCAGCTGGAACGGAGGTTGCGGGTATAGCAAGGTATAGTATGTCTATATATAAGTTTAATTTGGCATAGTTTGCACTCTACACCGCACTCACTAACCTGGTGGAAATCTTTCCACTCCTTTTTGACGCCATGTCTGTTGTGTAGGACTCTTCTTAGAGTGTAAATAATTACCGGACTATGACTGGTCAAATATGTTGAATACCGGCAAAACTAAATCTCTCCTGTCAAAATGTCTTTGTACTTTGCCGCCACACACGGTTGCCAAGCAGCGCTTATTGTTGTTTAGGCTGGCCACTCATGTGTCGCGAGTGTTGACAGGGGGCGGGGGAGCACGCTCATGAACTGTTAGCGCCCGAACCTCGCAACGGCTGCGGAGCGCATTTGCACCGCATTTGGGCATAAGATGGAGGTTTGAGTCTGAGTGATCTGCGTGTAGGCAGGGGCAGCAGCCATAGCATTAGCTAGAACTAGATCTGATGGATTTGGACATAAGATGAGGTTTGAGTCTGCGTGATCTGCGTGTAGGCAGGGGCAGCAGCCATATCATTAGAACTAGATCTGATGGATTTGGACATAAGATGAGGTTTGAGTCTGCGTGATCTGCGTGTAGGCAGGGGCAGCAGCCATATCATTAGCTAGAACTAGATCTGATGGGTTTGGACATAAGATGAGGTTTGAGTCTGAGTGATCTGCGTGTAGGCAGGGGCAGCAGCCATATCATTAGAACTAGATCTGATGGGTTTGGACATAAGATGAGGTTTGAGTCTGAGTGATCTGCGTGTAGGCAGGGGCAGCAGCCATATCATTAGCTAGAACTAGATCTGATGGGTTTGGACATAAGATGAGGTTTGAGTCTGTGTGATCTGCGTGTAGGCAGGGGCAGCAGCCATAGCATTAGCTAGAACTAGATCTGATGGATTTGGACATAAACGCGAGTGAAGTATAACCGGACGCGAGAGAGAGAGAGAGAGATCAGCACCTGCAGCTCTGCCTGCTGTGAGGGACCGGTGAGCGGAGCAAAACACACCTTTAGACGTCACCTAACACATTTAGCTATGGCACTGTCGTATACATTGAATTATTCAATTTGATAATATGTAATCAACTTAGGCATCCCTCCCAAAAAAAGAAGAAAAAAAAAAACTCATATTCGAATACCTGAATAATTTCGAATATTCGATTAATCGTTCCCATCCCTATGCTACGCTAACGTCAACTTCTAGCTAACTATGGGTGCACCTTGCTAGCACACTAACAATGAGCCTAGCATTGCCACGGCTAACGAGCAGCTGATTGGTTGAGCTTGTTCCCTGATATAACGCGATATGTCCAGTAGAAATCAGAGCGTCTCTCTCTGAGATAATTCAAATTGAATAAATATTAAAAACTTTGGAGCTAATTTGGGTCTCGAGCCACCGGCTGTGGACGGAGAGATTATGAATCATCTGCACAGAGATTGATTTCATAACTTTGTAATATTAGGATGAGCTGCAATATTTAAAATATAAACAGCTCCTCAACTTCTGGACATTTATAAGAAAATAGATCTGAAATTACCTTAAAAATGAGTGTTTTTAGGTACAAACGGTTTAATGTTGGTAGAAACATTCTCAGAAGCTTTAAAATGAAGTCCTAATGTTTCACGAATTAGTTTCTGGAGGAAAAGTTTGAATGTTGTTTGAATTATGAAATTAAAACCTATCTTCGTATAAAAAGTGGTCGTTTTGGTTCAAACTGTAAACTTCAGCTGATCTGTGAGGCGTGTGGCGCAGTGGATAGAGCCTTGGTGTTGGGATCAGGGGGTCACAGGTTCGAGTCCCACTGCAGTCAACATGTCGTTGTGTCCCCTCTTCACCCCAAAGTGCTCCTGGGGGGATTGCCCACAGTATTGAGTATGTGAGTCACTTTGGATAAAAGGGTCTAAAAAGTCACATGTGATGTAATCTGTTGTGCTTTGATTTACAGAGACGTGATTGGTTAGTGCTCTAGAGGCTCCGCCCACAGCTGGTCAGCTCTGCCTTCCTATTGGTCAGAACTCCTGATTGTCATGATAACGTCTTGAATGTAATTGGAGGTTTTATTGCTCTCGCACTTTGCTGGTTTGAATAAAGCTTCATTCAAATTCTCAAGTTTATAAAGTCACATTAATAAAGTTTAATTCAAATGCTACAGTATTTAGGGCAGCTAGCTTATATGCTAACAGCAGCATGCAGCTAGCAGAGCTAACATGCTAACTGTAGCATCGACTGGAAGACTTTTACGACCTTCTCTTTTCCCAGCATGCCTTTGGCTTCCTACACCTCTGACCCTGAGATTCATGTTGCTATGACAACCATCCCATCAACATCCACACCATGATGCTAAATCACAAGTGCGTGTGTTAGAGTGTGTGTGTGTGTGTGTGTGTGTGTGTGTGTGTGTGTGTGTGTGTGTGTGTGTGTGTGTGTGTGTGTGTGTGTGTCAGTGCTCGTTGGGCATGTGTCTGATGGTGTGGAAGATCCAGTCCATCTTGGTGCTCCAGCCTCCATGATGAGCGTCGTTCATCTGCTTCGTGAAATATTCCAACGCCTCCTGCTGACTCTTCTCTGAGAGATAGACAGGTGAGACAGACAGGTAAGAGACAGACAGGTGAGAGACAGACAGGTGAGACAGACAGGTAAGAGACAGACAGGTGAGACAGACAGGTGAGAGACAGACAGGTGAGGCAGACAGGTGAGAGATAGACAGGTGAGAGACAGACAGGTGAGACAGACAGGTGAGGCAGACAGGTGAGAGACAGACAGGTGGAGACAGACAGGTAAGAGACAGACAGGTGAGACAGACAGGTGAGACAGACAGGTAAGAGACAGACAGGTGAGACAGACAGATGAGACAGACAGGTAAGAGACAGACAGGTGAGACAGACAGGTGAGACAGACAGGTAAGAGACAGACAGGTGAGGCAGACAGGTGAGAGATAGACAGGTGGAGACAGACAGGTAAGAGACAGACAGGTGAGAGACAGACAGGTGAGAGACAGACAGGTGGAGACAGACAGGTGAGAGACAGACAGGTGAAATAGACAGTTGAGAGATAGACAGGTGGAGACAGACAGGTGAGACAGACAGGTGAGACAGACAGGTGAGAGACAGACAGGTGAGATAGACAGGTAAGAGACAGACAGGTGAGAGACAGACAGGTGAGAGAGAGACAGGTGAGAGACAGGTGAGAGACAGACAGGTGAGAGACAGACAGGTGAGAGAGAGACAGGTGAGAGACAGGTGAGAGACAGACAGGTGAGACAGACAGGTGAGAGACAGACAGGTGAGAGACAGACAGGTGGAGACAGACAGGTGAGAGAGAGACAGGTGAGAGACAGACAGGTAGAGTTAGTATTATGACATCATGAACCTCATAAAGACAAAGCACCTCAAAAGTTATTTTAGAGGGTTAGAGATTCCTCTGGTTCTTCAGTCAGACGGCTCCTCGTGGGTTCTGTGTTCAGAACCCACGAGGAGCCGTGCACATGCTGCGTTCTGTGTTCAGAACCCACTAGGAGCCGTACACATGCTGCGTTCTGTGTTCTGAACCCACTAGGAGCCGTACACATGCTGCGTTCTGTGTTCTGAACCCACGAGGAGCCGTACACATGCTGCGTTCTGTGTTCTGAACCCACGAGGAGCCGTACACATGCTGTGTTCTGTGTTCTGAACCCACTAGGAGCCGTACACATGCTGTGTTCTGTGTTCTGAACCCACTAGGAGCCGTACACATGCTGTGTTCTGTGTTCAGAACCCACGAGGAGCCGTACACATGCTGCGTTCTGTGTTCAGAACCCACGAGGAGCCGTACACATGCTGCGTTCTGTGTTCAGAACCCACTAGGAGCCGTACACATGCTGCGTTCTGTGTTCAGAACCCACGAGGAGCCGTACACATGCTGCGTTCTGTGTTCTGAACCCACGAGGAGCCGTACACATGCTGCGTTCTGTGTTCAGAACCCACGAGGAGCCGTACACATGCTGCGTTCTGTGTTCAGAACCCACTAGGAGCCGTACACATGCTGCGTTCTGTGTTCAGAACCCACTAGGAGCCGTACACATGCTGCGTTCTGTGTTCAGAACCCACGAGGAGCCGTACACATGCTGCGTTCTGTGTTCTGAACCCACTAGGAGCCGTACACATGCTGCGTTCTGTGTTCTGAACCCACTAGGAGCCGTACACATGCTGTGTTCTGTGTTCAGAACCCACTAGGAGCCGTACACATGCTGTTTTCTGTGTTCAGAACCCACGAGGAGCCGTACACATGCTGTGTTCTGTGTTCTGAACCCACTAGGAGCCGTACACATGCTGTGTTCTGTGTTCAGAGCCCACGAGGAGCCGTACACATGCTGCGTTCTGTGTTCAGAACCCACTAGGAGCCGTACACATGCTGTGTTCTGTGTTCTGAACCCACGAGGAGCCGTACACATGCTGCGTTCTGTGTTCAGAACCCACTAGGAGCCGTACACATGCTGTGTTCTGTGTTCTGAACCCACGAGGAGCCGTACACATGCTGCGTTCTGTGTTCAGAACCCACGAGGAGCCGTACACATGCTGCGTTCTGTGTTCAGAACCCACTAGGAGCCGTACACATGCTGCGTTCTGTGTTCTGAACCCACGAGGAGCCGTACACATGCTGGGTTCTGTGTTCTGAACCCACGAGGAGCCGTACACATGCTGCGTTCTGTGTTCAGAACCCACGAGGAGCCGTACACATGCTGTGTTCTGTGTTCTGAACCCACTAGGAGCCGTACACATGCTGCGTTCTGTGTGTAGAACCCACTAGGAGCCGTACACATGCTGTGTTCTGTGTTCAGAACCCACTAGGAGCCGTACACATGCTGCGTTCTGTGTTCTGAACCCACTAGGAGCCGTACACATGCTGTGTTCTGTGTTCTGAACCCACGAGGAGCCGTACACATGCTGCGTTCTGTGTTCTGAACCCACTAGGAGCCGTACACATGCTGCGTTCTGTGTGTAGAACCCACTAGGAGCCGTACACATGCTGCGTTCTGTGTTCTGAACCCACTAGGAGCCGTACACATGCTGCGTTCTGTGTTCAGAACCCACTAGGAGCCGTACACATGCTGTGTTCTGTGTTCAGAACCCACTAGGAGCCGTACACATGCTGCGTTCTGTGTTCTGAACCCACGAGGAGCCGTACACATGCTGCGTTCTGTGTTCTGAACCCACTAGGAGCCGTACACATGCTGTGTTCTGTGTTCAGAACCCACTAGGAGCCGTACACATGCTGTGTTCTGTGTTCTGAACCCACTAGGAGCCGTACACATGCTGCGTTCTGTGTTCTGAACCCACTAGGAGCCGTACACATGCTGTGTTCTGTGTTCAGAACCCACTAGGAGCCGTACACATGCTGCGTTCTGTGTGTAGAACCCACTAGGAGCCGTACACATGCTGCGTTCTGTGTTCTGAACCCACTAGGAGCCGTACACATGCTGCGTTCTGTGTTCTGAACCCACTAGGAGCCGTACACATGCTGCGTTCTGTGTTCAGAACCCACTAGGAGCCGTACACATGCTGTGTTCTGTGTTCTGAACCCACTAGGAGCCGTACACATGCTGTGTTCTGTGTTCAGAACCCACTAGGAGCCGTACACATGCTGTGTTCTGTGTTCTGAACCCACGAGGAGCCGTACACATGCTGTGTTCTGTGTTCTGAACCCACTAGGAGCCGTACACATGCTGTGTTCTGTGTTCAGAACCCACGAGGAGCCGTACACATGCTGTGTTCTGTGTTCTGAACCCACTAGGAGCCGTACACATGCTGTGTTCTGTGTTCAGAACCCACGAGGAGCCGTACACATGCTGCGTTCTGTGTTCAGAACCCACTAGGAGCCGTACACATGCTGTGTTCTGTGTTCTGAACCCACGAGGAGCCGTACACATGCTGCGTTCTGTGTTCAGAACCCACTAGGAGCCGTACACATGCTGCGTTCTGTGTTCAGAACCCACTAGGAGCCGTACACATGCTGTGTTCTGTGTTCTGAACCCACGAGGAGCCGTACACATGCTGTGTTCTGTGTTCAGAACCCACGAGGAGCCGTACACATGCTGTGTTCTGTGTTCTGAACCCACGAGGAGCCGTACACATGCTGCGTTCTGTGTTCAGAACCCACTAGGAGCCGTACACATGCTGCGTTCTGTGTTCAGAACCCACTAGGAGCCGTACACATGCTGTGTTCTGTGTTCTGAACCCACGAGGAGCCGTACACATGCTGCGTTCTGTGTTCAGAACCCACGAGGAGCCGTACACATGCTGCGTTCTGTGTTCAGAACCCACTAGGAGCCGTACACATGCTGCGTTCTGTGTTCTGAACCCACTAGGAGCCGTACACATGCTGGGTTCTGTGTTCTGAACCCACGAGGAGCCGTACACATGCTGCGTTCTGTGTTCAGAACCCACGAGGAGCCGTACACATGCTGTGTTCTGTGTTCTGAACCCACTAGGAGCCGTACACATGCTGCGTTCTGTGTTCAGAACCCACTAGGAGCCGTACACATGCTGTGTTCTGTGTTCTGAACCCACGAGGAGCCGTACACATGCTGCGTTCTGTGTTCTGAACCCACTAGGAGCCGTACACATGCTGCGTTCTGTGTGTAGAACCCACTAGGAGCTGTACACATGCTGCGTTCTGTGTTCTGAACCCACTAGGAGCCGTACACATGCTGTGTTCTGTGTTCTGAACCCACTAGGAGCCGTACACATGCTGTGTTCTGTGTTCAGAACCCACTAGGAGCCGTACACATGCTGCGTTCTGTGTTCTGAACCCACTAGGAGCTGTACACATGCTGCGTTCTGTGTGTAGAACCCACTAGGAGCCGTACACATGCTGCGTTCTGTGTTCTGAACCCACTAGGAGCCGTACACATGCTGCGTTCTGTGTTCTGAACCCACTAGGAGCCGTACACATGCTGCGTTCTGTGTTCTGAACCCACTAGGAGCCGTACACATGCTGCGTTCTGTGTTCTGAACCCACTAGGAGCCGTACACATGCTGCGTTCTGTGTTCTGAACCCACTAGGAGCCGTACACATGCTGCGTTCTGTGTTCAGAACCCACTAGGAGCCGTACACATGCTGTGTTCTGTGTTCAGAACCCACTAGGAGCCGTACACATGCTGCGTTCTGTGTTCTGAACCCACGAGGAGCCGTACACATGCTGTGTTCTGTGTTCTGAACCCACTAGGAGCCGTACACATGCTGTGTTCTGTGTTCTGAACCCACGAGGAGCCGTACACATGCTGCGTTCTGTGTTCTGAACCCACTAGGAGCCGTACACATGCTACGTTCTGTGTTCTGAACCCACGAGGAGCCGTACACATGCTGTGTTCTGTGTTCTGAACCCACTAGGAGCCGTACACATGCTGTGTTCTGTGTTCAGAACCCACTAGGAGCCGTACACATGCTGTGTTCTGTGTTCTGAACCCACTAGGAGCCGTACACATGCTGTGTTCTGTGTTCTGAACCCACTAGGAGCCGTACACATGCTGCGTTCTGTGTTCTGAATCCACTAGGAGCCGTACACATGCTGCGTTCTGTGTTCAGAACCCACGAGGAGCCGTACACATGCTGCGTTCTGTGTTCTGAACCCACGAGGAGCCGTACACATGCTACGTTCTGTGTTCTGAACCCACGAGGAGCCGTACACATGCTGTGTTCTGTGTTCTGAACCCACTAGGAGCCGTACACATGCTGTGTTCTGTGTTCAGAACCCACTAGGAGCCGTGCACTGCAGGATTGCTTTGCATCTACGGATTGGAGTGTGTTTGAGGACAATAACATCAACACACACACGGACACTGTCATCTGCTACATTGGGAAATGCATCGATGACGTGGTACCGAAGGTTTCTGTACGGACATTCCCAAATCAAAAGCCCTGGGTAAACGGTGAGGTGCGCGGCAAACTGAAAGCGCGCACTCTCGCGCACACAGCGGGAGATTTGGAGGAGTACAGGAAGTCTAGGTATGATCTCCGGAGAGCAATAAAAAATGCAAAGAGACAGTACAAAGAGAAGGTGGAATCTGACTTCAAAGGCTGTAACACTAGGAATATGTGGGCGGGACTAAGGACAATGACTGACTACAAAGGAGCAGCGGGGGGTGCTGCGGGAGTGTCTGCGTGCGCATCTCTCCCAGATGAGCTAAACAGTTTTTTTGCACGCTTTGAGAGCAGCCAGGCTGTGGAGGTACAGAGGGACCAGGAGCTACACTGCCCTTTTGTTTTAAATAGGGCAGATGTGTGTAAATCCTTTAAAAGGGTTAACCCACACAAGGCTCCTGGACCTGATGGCATCCCTGGCCGTGTTCTCAGGGTGTGTGCAGTTCAGCTGGCAGAGGTGTTCACAGACATCTTCAACAGGTCCCTGCTGCAGTCTGTAGTCCCCACATGTCTTAAACACTCCACCATCATTCCTGTCCCCAAAAAGACAATCATCACCTGCCCCAACGACTACCGCCCAGTAGCACTCACCTCCATCATAATGAAGTGCTTTGAGCGGTTAGTCAAATTATTCATCACCTCCTCCCTCCCTGAATCTCTGGACCCCCTGCAGTTTGCCTACAGAGCAAACAGGTCCACAGACTACGCCATAGCCCTCACCCTCCACACTGCCCTCTCACACCTGGACCCGAAGAACAGGAACACATATGTGAGAATGCTGTTCATTGACTACAGTTCAGCATTCAACACCATTGTGCCCTCCAAGCTGGCCATCAAGCTCAGAGACCTCGGGCTCAACAGCGCCCTCTGCGACTGGATCCTGAACTTCCTGACGGGCAGACCCCAGGCAGTGCGGGTGGGAAACATCACATCCTCCACCCTGATCCTCAACACCGGTGCCCCTCAAGGCTGCGTGCTCAGCCCTCTCCTCTACTCCCTGTTCACCCACGACTGCGTGGCCACACACAGCTCCAACACCATCGTGAAGTTTGCTGATGACACGACCGTCATCGGCCAGATCACAGACGATGACGAGACGGCGTACAGAGAGGAGGTCGAAAACCTGACATCTTGGTGCCAGGAGAACAACCTCCATCTCAACATCAGCAAAACAAAGGAGCTGATTGTGGACTACAGGAAGCAGCAGGGAGAGGGACACGCCCCCATCGCCATCAATGGGACTACGGTGGAGAGAGTCAAAAGCTTCAGGTTCCTTGGGGTCCACATCACTGAGGACCTGACATGGTCTCTTCACACCACCACCATCACTAAGAAAGCTCGACAGCGGCTCTTCTTCCTCCGCAGGCTGAGGAGGTTCAAAATGGATTCCAGGATACTCTGCAACTTCTACAGGTGCACGATAGAGAGTATCCTCACTGGCAGCATGACGGCCTGGTACGGCAGCTGCACCGACCTCGATCGTAAGGCTTTACAGAGGGTGGTGAAAACTGCACAGCACATCACCAGGACGGAGCTGCCATCCATGGAGGACCTTTACTCCCAGCGGCTCAGGAAGAAATCACTACGGATTATCAAAGACCCCCATCACCCCAGCCACAAACTGTTCTTTCTGTTGCCGTCTGGCAGACGTTACCGCAGCATCCGGGCAAGGACAAGAAGATTCGGAGACAGTTTCTTCCCGCGGGCAGTGAGACTGTTAAACAATTGAACTGTTGAAACAACATCAAACATTCAACTGCTACTCAGTAGTATGTATCTAATACCTAATATATATATATCATTCCAATAACTTGTATATAGACTCATACTGCACTATTCCACATCATAACTTTATTTCATTTTTATAACTATTACTATTTTTGTATTGCTCTTGCTCTTATTGTTATTATGTTATGTTATTATGTTGCATTGTTGGAGAAGCCTGTGACATAAGATTTTCAACTGCATAATTACTCTGTAGCTATGTCAGATTGACAATAAAGAACCTTGAACCTTGAACCTTGAACCTACACATGCTGTGTTCTGTGTGTAGAACCCACTAGGAGCCGTACACATGCTGCGTTCTGTGTTCTGAACCCACTAGGAGCCGTACACATGCTGCGTTCTGTGTTCAGAACCCACGAGGAGCCGTACACATGCTACGTTCTGTGTTCTGAACCCACTAGGAGCCGTACACATGCTGCGTTCTGTGTTCTGAACCCACTAGGAGCCGTACACATGCTGTGTTCTGTGTTCTGAACCCACTAGGAGCCGTACACATGCTGTGTTCTGTGTTCTGAACCCACTAGGAGCCGTACACATGCTGTGTTCTGTGTGTAGAACCCACGAGGAGCCGTACACATGCTGCGTTCTGTGTTCTGAACCCACTAGGAGCCGTACACATGCTGTGTTCTGTGTGTAGAACCCACTAGGAGCCGTACACATGCTGTGTTCTGTGTTCTGAACCCACTAGGAGCCGTACACATGCTGCGTTCTGTGTTCTGAACCCACTAGGAGCCGTACACATGCTGTGTTCTGTGTTCTGAAACCCACTAGGAGCCGTACACATGCTGTGTTCTGTGTTCTGAACCCACGAGGAGCCGTACACATGCTGCGTTCTGTGTTCTGAACCCACGAGGAGCCGTACACATGCTGCGTTCTGTGTTCAGAACCCACGAGGAGCCGTACACATGCTGCGTTCTGTGTTCTGAACCCACGAGGAGCCGTACACATGCTGTGTTCTGTGTTCTGAACCCACTAGGAGCCGTACACATGCTGTGTTCTGTGTTCTGAACCCACAAGGAGCCGTACACATGCTGTGTTCTGTACTTTGTGCACTACCTGACAGGTTGTAGTGCTGCAGCTTAATACAGCTCAGACTGAGAGGCTCTGATAACTACAGCTCAGACTGAGAGGCTCTGATAACTACAGCTCAGACTGAGAGACTCTGATAACTACAGCTCAGACTGAGAGACTCTGATAACTACAGCTCAGACTGAGAGAGATAACTACAGCTCAGACTGAGAGACTCTGATAACTACAGCTCAGACTGAGAGAGATAACTACAGCTCAGACTGAGAGGCTCTGATAACTACAGCTCAGACTGAGAGAGATAACTACAGCTCAGACTGAGAGAGATAACTACAGCTCAGACTGAGAGAGATAACTACAGCTCAGACTGAGAGACTCTGATAACTACAGCTCAGACTGAGAGAGATAACTACAGCTCAGACTGAGAGGCTCTGATAACTACAGCTCAGACTGAGAGAGATAACTACAGCTCAGACTGAGAGGCTCTGATAACTACAGCTCAGACTGAGAGGCTCTGATAGCTACAGCTCAGACTGAGAGACTCTGATAACTACAGCTCAGACTGAGAGGCTCTGATAACTACAGCTCAGACTGAGAGACTCTGATAACTACAGCTCAGACTGAGAGACTCTGATAACTACAGCTCAGACTGAGAGGCTCTGATAACTACAGCTCAGACTGAGAGACTCTGATAACTACAGCTCAGACTGAGAGACTCTGATAACTACAGCTCAGACTGAGAGACTCTGAGGAAATGAACTGCTGGCTCTCCCAGCATACACGCGGTTTGATTGGCTAGCGCTTGTACTGGCAGATTTGCATAAGCAGGATTTGATTGGCTGACGCCTCCGTCGAAGCTTCAAAAGTAGAACATTGCTCTGCTTTTGCAGCGAGCAACGCGAGAAAAGCTACGCTTTGCTCCCACAATGCAGTTCGGCGAAGCGTGACGTCACCCCATTCAAACGCACGCCGCCGTGTGTAGGGGCCGTCATGCTCTACCGGTCTCCCTCTCTACCTGTCTACCTCTCTACCGGTCTCCCTCTCTACCTGTCTACCTCTCTACCGGTCTCCCTCTCTACCTGTCTAACTGTCTCCCTCTCTAACTGTCTCCCTCTCTACCTGTCTCTCTACCTGTCTCTCTAACTGTCTCCCTCTCTACCTGTCACTCTAACTGTCTCCCTCTCTACGTGTCTCCCTCTCTACCTGTCTCCCGCTCTACCTGTCTCCCTCTCTACCTCTCTACCTATCTCCCGCTCTACCTGTCTCACCCCCTGTCTGCCTGTCTCACCCAGTGCCAGGGTCTTCCTCAGGTAAGCGATGTCATCGAAGCTCTGCAGCTCCGGCATGCCGCAGCCCAGCAGCAGAGAGAAGAGGTTGATGAAGAGGCTGGCGTGCTGACGTATCAACAGGTAGGCTTTATAACACATCTCCTGGAACCTGAGAGACAGACAGGTGAGAGACAGACAGGTGAGAGAGAGTCAGGTGAGAGACAGACAGGTAGGCTTTATAACACATCTCCTGGAACCTGAGAGACAGACAGGTGAGAGACAGACAGGTGAGAGACAGATTGATACACAGACAGGTGAGAGACAGTCAGGTGAGAGACAGACAGGTAGGCTTTATAACACATCTCCTGGAACCTGAGAGACAGACAGGTGAGAGACAGTCAGGTGAGAGACAGACAGGTAGGCTTTATAACACATCTCCTGGAACCTGAGAGACAGACAGGTGAGAGACAGACAGGTGAGAGAGAGTCAGGTGAGAGACAGACAGGTAGGCTTTATAACACATCTCCTGGAACCTGAGAGACAGTCAGGTGAGAGACAGACAGGTAGGCTTTATAACACATCTCCTGGAACCTGAGAGACAGACAGGTGAGAGACAGACAGGTAGGCTTTATAACACATCTCCTGAAACCTGAGAGAGACAGGTGAGAGACAGACAGGTAGGCTTTATAACACATCTCCTGGAACCTGAGAGACAGACAGGTAGGCTTTATAACACATCTCCTGAAACCTGAGAGAGACAGGTGAGAGACAGACAGGTGAGAGACAGTCAGGTGAGAGACAGACAGGTAGGCTTTATAACACATCTCCTGAAACCTGAGAGACAGACAGGTAGGCTTTATAACACATCTCCTGAAACCTGAGAGACAGACAGGTGAGAGACAGACAGGTGAGAGACAGTCAGGTGAGAGACAGACAGGTGAGAGACAGTCAGGTGAGAGACAGACAGGTAGGCTTTATAACACATCTCCTGAAACCTGAGAGAGACAGGTGAGAGACAGACAGGTGAGAGACAGTCAGGTGAGAGACAGACAGGTAGGCTTTATAACACATCTCCTGGAACCTGAGAGACAGACAGGTGAGAGACAGACAGGTAGGCTTTATAACACATCTCCTGGAACCTGAGAGACAGACAGGTGAGAGACAGACAGGTAGGCTTTATAACACATCTCCTAGAACCTGAGAGACAGACAGGTGAGAGACAGACAGGTAGGCTTTATAACACATCTCCTGGAACCTGAGAGACAGGCAGGTGAGAGACAGACAGGTGAGAGACAGACAGGTGAGAGACAGACAGGTAGGCTTTATAACACATCTCCTGGAACCTGAGAGACAGACAGGTGAGAGACAGACAGGTAGGCTTTATAACACATCTCCTGGAACCTGAGAGACAGACAGGTGAGAGACAGACAGGTGAGAGAGAGTCAGGTGAGAGACAGACAGGTGAGAGACAGACAGGTAGGCTTTATAACACATCTCCTGGAACCTGAGAGACAGACAGGTGAGAGACAGACAGGTAGGCTTTATAACACATCTCCTGGAACCTGAGAGACAGACAGGTGAGAGACAGACAGGTGAGAGAGAGTCAGGTGAGAGACAGACAGGTGAGAGACAGACAGGTAGGCTTTATAACACATCTCCTGGAACCTGAGAGACAGGCAGGTGAGAGACAGACAGGTGAGAGACAGACAGGTGAGAGACAGACAGGTAGGCTTTATAACACATCTCCTGGAACCTGAGAGACAGACAGGTGAGAGACAGACAGGTAGGCTTTATAACACATCTCCTGGAACCTGAGAGACAGACAGGTGAGAGACAGACAGGTGAGAGACAGATTGATAGACAGACGGCAGGACAGACAGACAGGTGGACAGACAGGTGGACACACCTCTCAAACTCCTTGGTCTTGGTGGACTCCTGCACTCCTTTGCTGATGACGATGAGGAAGTCCTGCGTGAGGACGAAGGGGACGCGCTCCCTCTTATAACCAAACTTCTTCTTCTTGTGGTCCAGGAAGTGGCCGAAGTCAATGTGGAAGAGCTGGAAGCAGAAACAGGTGAGAGACAGACAGGTGAGAGACAGACAGGTGAGAGAGAGACAGGTGAGAGACAGACAGGTGAGAGACAGACAGGTGAGAGACAGACAGGTGAGAGACAGACAGGTGAGAGACAGACAGGTGAGAGACAGACAGGTGGAAGTCAATGTGGAAGAGCTGGAAGCAGAAACAGAGCTAACATGCTAACAGCAGCACGCAGCTAGCAGAGCTAACATGCTAACAGCAACACGCAGCTAGCAGAGCTAACATGCTAACTGTAGCATCGACTGTGGAAGAGCTGGAAGCAGAGACAGAGCTAACATGCTAACTGTAGCATCGACTGTGGAAGAGCTGGAAGCAGAGACAGAGCTAACATGCTAACAGCAACATGCAGCTAGCAGAGCTAACATGCTAACTGTAGCATCAATGTGGAAGAGCTGGAAGCAGAAACAGGTGAGAGACAGACAGGTGGACAGACAGGTGAGAGATAGACAGGTGAGAGACAGACAGGTGAGAGACAGGTGGAAGTCAATGTGGAAGAGCTGGAAGCAGAAACAGTAAAACGCCGAGTCATGCTGAGTCACCTGACATGCTGAGTCACCTGACATGCTGAGTCACCTGACATGCTGAGTCACCTGACTGTCTCACCTGTCCGTTCTCCTTCACCATGATGTTGGAGTTGTGTCGGTCTCCGATCCCCAGAATGAACGTCGCCACGCAGTAACCAGCACAGGACCTGGTGAACAGGTCGATGGCTCGGTCATACCTGAGAGACAGACAGGCAGTGAGACAGGTGACAGACAGTCAGACAGGTAACACACAGGTGACAGACAGACGTGTACTGACGCCTCCCCGCGGTTCTTGTCTTTGATCCAGTGGTGCAGGGTGTTGGAGTTGAACTGCAGCGCCCCCTTCAGTCCGCCCTTGCACTGGATCTGCATGATGGTGAAGCTGTTCTTCACTACCTCGATCAGACCCACGCAGTCTCCGATGGACAGACAGCCGTACGGCAGCATGCTGCAGACAGACAGGCAGACAGACAGGTGATTCAGGATGCTTTATATCGCTGTTAATCCTTGAGTCCGGTTCTCACCGCAGGTCCAGGTTCTGGTTCTGCCAGATGTTTTCCATGATCTTGATGATCTGCAGAGTCAGCATGTCCTGCCGCAGGTCTGCAACACACACAGGTCACAAACTACATTACCCACAATCCCCGGTCCCTTTGAAGTGTTGTGTTTGCGCTGAGCTAGCTACCGTCTCCATTCTTAAAGATGATCTCGTTGTTGGTAAAGAGCAGCTCCGACATGATTTCAGGATTCTCCCAGTTCAACCACAGAGGACGCTTCGCCGAAGACATGATGCGGCACTCCTCCAGCCTGGGGGGAATAATGTACATTAACAGTGTTTGGATGATTGTTTGGTTGGTTGGATGTGCTGGGGTTAGTTGGTTGGTTGGTTGGTTGGTCATTTGGTTTGGGTTAATTGGTCATTTGGTTGGGGTTAGTTAGTTGGTTAGTTGGTTGGTTGGTTGGTTGGTTGGTTGGTTGGTTGGTTGGTTGGTTAGGGTAAATTGGTTGGTTGGTTGGTCATTTGGTTAGGGTTAGTTGGTTGGTTGGTTGATTGGTTGGTTGGTTGGTTAGTTGGTTAGGGTAAATTGGTTGGTTGGTTGGTCATTTGGTTAGGGTTAGTTGGTTGGTTGGTTGATTGGTTGGTTGGTTGGTTAGTTGGTTAGGGTAAATTGGTTGGTTGGTTGGTCATTTGGTTAGGGTTAGTTGGTTGGTTGGTTGATTGGTTGGTTGGTTGGTTAGTTGGTTAGGGTAAATTGGTTGGTTGGTTGGTCATTTGGTTAGGGTTAGTTGGTTGGTTGGTTAGTTGGTTAGGGTAAATTGGTTGGTTGGTCATTTGGTTAGGGTTTAATATATAATGTCAATTTATTGAACATGTCAGAAACAAAACATACATCAATACTAATAATAATATATATTGCTTCTTCCTTTTCTTCCTTCTCACTCATAATAATAATAATTATACCAAAGTACAATAAAATAAATAATAATGATAATGGAAAAAAAGAAATAAAAAGAAACAACAACAATAAATCTTAAATGAGTCTCTGTCGTGTTCAACAGGGGCAAGAAGAAGCTTAAAAAACTGTTCTGGTCCTACCCCTTCTAGCGTACATTTTCCTTGCAGTATAAATGAAATAATTAGGTCATCGTCATCAGCGACATGTTTGTCTTGATACTTTTTTACAAAAACAATCAGGAAGTAATTACTTTTACAATTACAGGAAATAACAAAAATAATTTTTACAGGTACTGTTCATAACCACTAATGGTTTGGCTCTTGAATAATACTTTCATTTTATATAAAGTTGTACAATTTTTCAGTGCATCACTACATTTATTCCACAGACTAACACCTTTTGATGAGATGCAATGAAGTTTGGCATTTGTACGTACGGGTGGTTTTTTGAAAATGCAGTTTCCTCTCAACATGTGCATGCCCTCTCTCCGTGTAAAAAGTCCCTGGACACCATGAGGCAAATGATGATTTGCGGCCTTGTACATAATTTGAATGGTTTTATAGTCAACCAGGTCTTGTAGTTTTAGTGTTTTTAGTTTGATAAATAATGTATTTGTTGGTTCTCTGTACGAAGTTTTGTGTATAACTCGTATTGCTCTTTTTTGCAGGATGAAGATAGGATGTGTATTTGTTTTGTATGTGTTCCCCCAAACCTCCACACAATACATCATGTATGGAAGTATGAAGGAGCAGTACAGCATAAACAAGGAAGCTTGATTACTAGGTATTTGGCTTTATTTAGAATTGCTATTGATTTGGATATTTTGGCTTTGATATAGCTTATATGTGGTTTCCAACTTAATTTATTGTCTATGATTATTCCAAGGAATTTTATTTCCATTACTCTTTCTAGTTGGACGCCATTTATAGTGAGTTTCTTCTCTGTATTGGTCGACCGATTCCCAAATATGATGAGTTTGGTTTTGCTTGCGTTCAATGTTAATTTATTTTGGTCAAACCAGATCTTCATCCTGCTCAGTTCCTTTTCCATTGTGACCAATAGCTGTTCTAGATTGTCCCCACAGCAGAGTAGACTTGTGTCATCTGCAAAAAGAATGGTTTTAACAGTGTTTGATACTTCACATATGTTGTTAATATACAGAATAAATAATAATGGCCCCAAGACTGAGCCTTGAGGCACCCCGCATGTAACCTGTAGTAGTTGTGATGTATGACTTTGTATTTCAACGTACTGATTCCTGTTATGTAGGTAGCTGGATAGCCATGATAGTGCAACACCTCTAATTCCATATCTCTGTAGTTTTTTTAATAATAGTTCATGGTCAACCGTGGTCAAATGCTTTTTTAAGGTCCAGAAATATCCCTATTGCATATTCTTTCTTTTCTATTGCCTTAGTAATGTGTTCCATAAATTCTATAACTGCAAATGATGTGGTTCTGTTTGCTCTGAAACCATATTGTTGTTCATAGAGTATGTTATGTTTGGTGAAGAAGTCATTTAGTCTTACATAGTAGATTTTTTCCAGTATTTTAGAAAACTGTGGGAGCAATGAAATTGGTCTATAATTTGACAGTACATGTTTATCTCCAGATTTATGTATCGGTATGACTTTAGCAGTTTTCATTTTATTTGGAAATACACCGGTTTGTATTGACTGATTACAGATGTGAGTTAATGGTTTGGCTATACATTCAATAATGTTTTTAACTGTATACATGTCAGTATCATGACAGTCTGTAGACCTTTTACTCTTTAGTTTTTTAACTGTGTCAATAATTTCATTTTCATCAGTCCCTCTTAAGAATATAGTTTCCTTCACATTTATATCTTTACTTTCTACACCTTCACTACTACCAGTTAGGGTTAGTTGGTTGGTTGGTCGTTTGGTTAGGGTAAGTTGGTTGGTTAGTTGGTTGGTTGGTTGGTTGGTTGGTTAGTTGGTTGGTCATTTGGTTAGGGTGAGTTGGTTGGTTAGTTGGTCAGTTGGTTGGTTAGTTGGTTAGGGTTAATTGGTCGTTTGGATGGGGTTAATTGGTTGGTCAGTTGGTTGGTTGGTTGGTTGGTTAGGCTGGGGTTAGTTGGTTGGTTGGTTGATTGGTTAGGGTTAAATTGGTTGGTTGGTTGGTCATTTGGTTAGGGTTAGTTTGTTGGTTGGTCGTTTGGTTAGGGTAAGTTGGTTGGTTAGTTGGTTGGTTGGTTGGTTGGTTGGTTAGTTGGTCATTTGGTTAGGGTGAGTTGGTTGGTTAGTTGGTCAGTTGGTTGGTTAGTTGGTTAGGGTTAATTGGTCGTTGGATGGGGTTAATTGGTTGGTCAGTTGGTTGGTTAGTTGGTTAGGGTTAATTGGTCGTTTGGATGGGGTTAATTGGTTGGTCAGTTGGTTGGTTGGTTAGGCTGGTTGGTTGGTTGGTTAGTTGGTTGGTCATTTGGTTAGGGTGAGTTGGTTGGTCAGTTGGTTGGTTAGTTGGTTAGGGTTAATTGGCCGTTTGGATGGGGTTAATTGGTTGGTCAGTTGGTTGGTTGGTTGGTTGGTTGGTTGGTTGGTTAGGCTGGGGTTAGTTGGTTGGGTTGGTTGATTGGTTAGGGTAAATTGGTTGGTTGGTTGGTTGGTCATTTGGTTAGGGTTAGTTGGTTGGTTGGTTGATTGGTTAGGGTAAATTGGTTGGTTGGTTGGTTGGTCATTTGGTTGGGTTAGTTGGTTGGTTGTTTGGTTTGGGTAAGTTGGTTGGTTAGTTGGTTGGTTTGTTGGTTAGTTGGTTTGGTCATTTGGTTTGAGTTGGTTTGTTGGTCAGTTGGTCAGTTGGTTGGTTAGTTGGTTAGGGTTAATTGGTCGTTTGGATGGGGTTAATTGGTTGGTCAGTTGGTTGGTTGGTTAGGCTGGGGTTAGTTGGTTGGTTGGTTGATTGGTTAGGGTAAATTGGTTGGTTGGTTGGTTGGTTGGTCATTTGGTTAGGGTTAGTTTGTTGGTTGGTCGTTTGGTTAGGGTAAGTTGGTTGGTTAGTTGGTTGGTTGGTTGGTTGGTTGGTTGGTTGGTTAGTTGGTCATTTGGTTAGGGTGAGTTGGTTGGTTAGTTGGTCAGTTGGTTGGTTAGTTGGTTAGGGTTAATTGGTCGTTTGGATGGGGTTAATTGGTTGGTCAGTTGGTTGGTTAGTTGGTTAGGGTTAATTGGTCGTTTGGATGAGGTTAATTGGTTGGTCAGTTGGTTGGTTAGGCTGGTTGGTTGGTTGGTTAGTTGGTTGGTCATTTGGTTAGGGTGAGTTGGTTGGTCATTTTGTTGGTTATTGGTTAGGGGTTTTGGCCGTTGGATGGGGTTTGGTTGGTCAGTTGGTTTGGTTGGTTGGGGTTGG